ACAAAGCCTTTTCATATTCACAGATGAAGCAACTAAAGGTAATGTCCATAGAAGAAATGACCCCTGACTTTCTTTTCTGCCATATACCCAAATCTCCCAGCATGAAAACCTCATCAGGATCACCGCCCCCCCCCCCATAAACACAAAATTCTGACACTTCTTTTTTTAAAACAATCCTTTCATTATTATCATTCTCACTAACCAGAACTGTAACTCTGCCTTTGGACCTGGTATTGAATGTTTGTACATATGCTCTTTAGCATTGTTCTCTGTATTTATACACTACATTGTAAAACTGCTTGTGATGGTTTGAAGAAGAAATGTCCCCAATTGACTATGCGGTTTGAAGAAGAAATGTCTCCAGTTGACTTGTTTCCCAGTTGGGGGCACTACTTGAGTGGTGGTGGAATTGTGATGGAAGAAGGACATCACATTATTTAGCTTTACCCCACTACCAGTATTTCCTCTCTGCTTTGGAGATATGATTTCTCAGCTTTCTGCTCCTGCAACCATGACTGCTTGCTGCTATGACTCCTTCTATGATGGACTCGTATCTTTCTAGAATTGGAGACGAAAATACACTGCTCTGGTTCTAAAATGATCTCTTTGGCAGTTCTAAAAAAGGATTTGAATGGTATATTATATGTGGAAAAAAACACTTGGCCAAATTTAATTGATGAATTAAATAAATTATATAATTAAAACCATTTCATAAGTGTGAAATTTTTGTCATGTCCTGACCTTGTTGTCACCTTTTCTGCCCTTTCTCTGCTTAAAACATTTCTCTGTCATCTGATTGTCCCCCATCTTACTTCCTTTGACTTCAGATTCCTCTCCTCCCTTCTCTTCATGTGCTCTTCAGATTGTGAAACATGATTTTGCTGCCTCATTGTCAAAGACATCACTTGCATAAGCCACCTGGTGGTTAATCAAGGTCAAACAACCCATTGAAAAGGACACCTACCTGTTCATTCCAATTCCCACCTGTCCAGAATTCCATCTTGGAGAGATCTTCTACTCATTCTTCCCAGTCACCCATCCCACAGTGACCTCTGTCCTCTGAACAGGGTCACACTCCTTTGGATTGTCTTGTATAGAGAGCACTTTAGTCCCTCCTGGGTGGGAATTTAGTCATAACAGCTCATCTCACCCAACCAGGCTGAAACGGTCTTCACTGCAATAATAGCTTATACTGTTTTGTAATCCTATATTATCAAACAGGGGCTGACATGTGAGCACTGCTACTGGGTCTCCTCTGGGTCTTTCTTGTCACTCTGGAAGTGACTGGAAATAATACCCTCACTGAGCTGTAGAACTGACCTCTATAGATTTTCCTGTAAAAAAGAAAGCCCATTGAAACAGAAATCTGTTGTCTCTACAGCAGAAGTAGTGGTAGAGGAGAGAAGAAGGGTGAGGGGAGGCTCTTCCAAGCTCCCAAGACAAATCTGTGGAATTTGGCATTTTATGAAATGTCAGTGATACATTTATATAAAAATGTATAAAAATTTTCAGGTAAGAAACTTCAAGAAGTTCTCATGTCTCAAGTCCTCCAACTTTAATGTATATATAAATTTTTCATCCTGAGTCAGGCTGCATGCAAACTCTGAGGGTGTTTTGCTGGGGTCACAGTGGCCCTCACTTCTGTTTACACTTGAGGTTAACTGAGGTTTAACTGTAGCCATCATTCTGACACCAGAGAAAGGTGATGTGATGATTCCAGTAGGGAGAAAAGAGTTTATGCATTATTTTTCACTCAGAGGTAAGTCTTACTCCTGGAACCCCATTGTCAAATGAGACCCAGGGAGAAGAGCAAATGCCCCTTCATGTTTGTTTTAGACAACAACCCCATAACAAAGAGCAGCTCCTTTGGAAACCAGTGGTCATTGTCCTCTAGCTGGGTATTACAAAGGACACAAAGGAAGAGCCTCAGCCAGCTTTCCACTTGAAAAGGTAGTGATTCCCTCCTATTTTTCCCCTCACCCTGACTATGTTTCTGAGACAGACACCAAAAACTTATTTCAGGTGCCAGTCATGGAAAATGCATGACTTCATGCATGAAATAGAATATTATTTACAAAATGAATTTTAAGAAAGAGAGGAAAGATGGAGAGAGAAATCACTTGTCTAGGAGTGGTGATTTAAAACTTAATATTTCTCTAAGTGTTAAATTTCTTACCTAAGCAGGACATAGTGGCCCATGTCTTTAATCCCAGGACTCTGGAGCAGAGGCAAGGAGATCTCTTTAGATAAAGGCCAGTTTAGTTTATACAGAAGGTTTCAGGCCAGCAAGGGCTACATAGTTAGACTCTATCGAAAAACAAAAACAATTCCCTAACCTGAATTGTGAGATCACCCCTATTTTTCACCTTTATTTTGTATTCATACAACTAGCACAAATGGAGACTCTGAATAAAGATACATGAATTACTGGTCTTTATTATAGCATTGTCATTAATTAAGTCCTTTATTGTCACAAGGAAAAGTGAGGACCAGTTTTTATGCATGAATATTTTACCTTAGTACAAGTATATTAAAATAAAACAAGCAGCTGGGGTTCTTTAGAGCCTTTCGGCATGTTGCACTTATTTCACTATTAATTGGAAATTTTATTCCAATTGGGTGCCCCCTTTCCAATCTTGTTAAAGTCTCTCTCTCAGGGTAGCAGAAGCAAATGCCACCCCACCCCCATCATAGCCAAACATTCCTATGGGAAAAAAATACAAATAAGTAGAAGTGAAAAGTCTTTGTTTCTGATATAACATCTGGAATTTGGGGGTTGATTTATTTCAAGTAAAGAACCTGTTCTAAAAACAGTAAAACACAAAGAAAAAAATGTTTCATCATATAGTTCTGCTTAATTTTGATGAGAAAAAAAAAAGGCAAGTTTTAATTTTCAAACTTGTACTAGAGAAGCCCCTTGCATCCTGTATTGTCTCCAGGGAGCTCCCATGAGCCTCTCGCATGCAGATGCCCAGCAGACTTAAGGTCTGAAATGGCTCTTTTACAATGGGATACCATACTCATTCCCACACTAGAGTAGAGCAAACACACACACACACACACACACACACACACACACACACACACACACACACCAAATAGAGGCTTTGTTCAGTTTGACAGACAAAACCATGGCTTCATGTGGCCCCTCTGTCCTTTCACCCTATTTGTAAACACAAGGCAGACATCTAACCAGCAACTTTGGCAACGAAAATATGCAACACTGTTTTGAAAACAGCAGGTGCAGAACTGGGAAAGATGCAACTGAGGGGAAGGGGAGTGAGAAAACTCTGTGTAATTACTGGAAAATGAAACCATTATTCAACAGAAAATTCGAGGTTTAGATGTAACTAACACAAACCCCTTGATGCCCACTCACGTAGCTTGGAATGTACATTCAAACAATGCACCAAAATAACATTCCTTTTGGGGGAAGGTCAGCAAAAATAACTACAGGGAGGAAATGCAAAAAAAAAAAAAAAAATACTGAAAGGACACAAGACGAAAAACCGGTTTTCCCAGAAGAACTCTGAGACAGAAGAGCCAGGGAGAAACTAATTCTCTAGATTCCTAGACTCCACGGAGAGCACCTTCTAAACTGTCCTCTCAGGTCTCCACTCCTTTAGTTATCTGTCTCTGAGATCAAGATCGTAGGTAATGGTGAGGTGCTGAAACCCTTCAAATGAGAGCTCAGAGTTCTGCTAATTGTGTGTGCTCCCCGGATGTCTGGGAGAATGAATCTAGACATTATTGGGATATGCTAAACAAAGCGATTCTTCAATCGACAGGGGCAAAGGGTAGATTAAGAAAAGTTGCATCCTATGGTTAAAATTGCCCCTTTTGATTCCTCAGGACGCGCCGCTAAAGTTGGAAGCAGTTACAAATCTTTTTGCTCTTTACCTCTCTCTACATGCCCCACACCCACACTCTTGAGAGGTATCTTGGTCTCAGGCCCTTGCAGCAAGGTCTGCTCTCTCTTGCACAAGCTCTAACTTCTCTACCATTTCCTGGAGAGCTGAGACAGAGGAACCTGTATGCTGCAAACCCAGGGGGCTCTGGGGAGCTCCCCTCCAGAAACCAAGGGGAGGGTGGGGCGTGCCATCCCTGGCCAGCGTCCCCAGTTCGCCCTCCCTGGCCAGCAGTGGGCGCCTCCCGCAGTAGACACATGGCCGTGCCAGAACTTACAGGAAGGCCACCAAAGCATACAAATAAAAGTCTGCCTTCTAAATAGTCTGATTGTAGGTTTCTTTGGTGAGTGCTGACACCAAGAAGAGAAACCATCCACAAGCTTTCCTGGATCTTCCCCACTGGCCTCCTATTTGTAAGTCCACTCCAACAGATACACCTTTGCCACTTGATTTTGAGTTCAAGAAAACACAGAAAGTGGGCTCTATGCACGGTGGGTGGGGGTGGACCTCATATTGGCTACAGAGCAAGGCAGGGATTTCCTGGGCACTATAAGTCAAAGTAGTCCCAACTGCTTTTTCAGACCAGCAGTGAGTACATAGGAGCCAGACTCAGTGGAGAAGGTTGACACCCAAAGGGGAGTAGATGTTTCTAAAGACAGAGCAAAGTCTTGAATCTCAAAGTTCCAGAAGTAGGGCAGAGAGGTGGCAGTTCTCCTGGCAGACGTCCAGCAGCTTATATTTTCTGTTTGGATTTTCTGCCTTGAACCACCGAGGTTTAATTTCGAAGAGGGAGGAGGTTATTGCAACTATCAAAACTGATCCTAGGGCCAAAGACTTAGCCAATAACTTTTTTGCAGACTCTAGGAGGCTTCTAAGGTTTCTGCAAAGAGCACTGTCTCCTTGAAATGGAATAGAAAGAGAGCAAGATCGGAAAGCATGGGCCAAGAAGCTGCATGTCATAAGGAAAAGCAAGTTATCTCAGGTGTTGCTTCCAGGGCTGAGACACTGAGTGAACGGGGAGGATCCTGTAACCCCTACAGTCCTCCCCTTCTCCTTCCTTCTCCACCAACACCATCCTCCTCTTCACCATCATCATCGGCGGCAGAACTTGCACTTGATGATCTTCTTAAATGCATTTTGAAAGTCCTTGTTGAAATAAGCATAAATAACTGGGTTGAGAAGGGAGTTGGAGTAGCCCAGCCAGTTGATTATGGCACCCAACAATGCAGGCATGTGGCAGCTGCTCTCACAGAAGGGCAACACCAGAGCCACAATGAAAAAAGGCAGCCAGCAGAGGATGAAAGTGCCCATGATGATGCCCAGAGTCTTCACTGTCTTCCTCTCACGGGCCAGGGCCATCTTGCGCTTTGCCTCAGCATTCCGCTCATTTTTTCTCTCCAGGCAGGCGGGGGCATAGGAGGTTGCTCCCGACTCGCTGGGCAGCGGCAGGTGGTCTTTGGAGTTACCCACTCGGTGCACCTCGATCACCTCCAGGGTGGCTTCGTCATCCCCCTGCCTAACCGCTCCATTTGCGCACGGAGCCCCCACAGCCCTGTTCTCAGCGCTGCGCCTCCAGTCCCCATTACCTGGCTGTCCGTTCAGGCTCTTCTTGGGGGGCGGGGCCGACGATGTACTGAGGCTGGTGCTTGCTCCCTTCTTTTCTACCTTCTTGACAGTCTTGCGGATCCGAAAGCGCGCGGCTCGGAAGATGCGCCCATAGAGAACCAGCATGAGCAGCAGAGGGATATAGAAAGCGCCGAAAGTGGAGTAGATGGTGTAGCCGTGGTCCTTGCTGATGGTGCATGCATCGGGGTCCGAGCGGTCTTCCGGGGTGCGCCAGCCCAGCATGGGCGGGATGGAGATGAGAAAGCCAATGAGCCAAGTGAGCGAGATCAGCGCAGCGGCGCGCCGGGGCGTCCTCTTGTTCACGTAGTCTATAGGGTCAGTGATCGCCCAGTACCTGTCTAGCGCGATGGCGCACAGGTGCAGGATGGATGAGGTGCAGCACAGCACATCCAGGGCGATAAACAGGTCGCAGGTGACCTGGCCCAGAGTCCACTTGTTGAGCACCTGGTACAGAGCAGCCATAGGCAGCACCAGCACTGACACCATGAGGTCGGTGACCGCCAAGGAACCGATAAGATAGTTGGCCACATTCTGGAGGGAGCGCTCCAGGGCGATGGCAGCCACCACGCAGGCATTGCCGAGCACCGCGCAGAAAATGAGAGTGCCCAGAAGCAAAGAGGTGATCACTTGGTAGCTGAAGGTCACGTCGGAGATGCCAGTAACGTTGCCGCCTGTCCCGAAGGGCTCCTGGGAAGATGTGGTGTTGTTGCCCTGGCCAAGACTGAATATATCCATGTCTGCCTGCACGCCCGGTGGGGTGGGGGAAGGGAGGGGGAAAGAGCTGCAAGGGGGATCTCCCTCGCCCCTCCCCCTAGGGTCTTCCTCCTTTTCTGGGGAATTTCAGAGGGAGGGGATCCAGGGACTGGAGCGGGAAGTTCTTACTGCTCTAGCGAAGGCATCTGAGAGGGGCAGCTTCCCGGCGCGCTCTCTTGCTTGGCTCCCGCGGGTCCCGAGCGCTCAGAGGCTCCAGCTAGGAAACTGTAGTTAGCCCCAGAGCAGCTTCCAAATCTCTGAGTGGTGGAGAGGTGGCTGGAACATCTGTCTCACGCTGTCCATTTCACTTTGTCGCTGCCCAACTAGCTGCGGGAGCCCGACTCTGCCGACTAGCAATCAGTCTAGAATCTCAGAAACCCCAAGCTCTGGGGTCATTCTGTGACCCTGGTCTCCTAGTTCCTTCTCTCCCTCTCCCTCCGGACTTCTCTAGTCTCGGTTTTTCTTTTTTCAGCCTCCTTCTCTCGGCTTCCTCCTATTGGCCTTCCTTTCAGTTCTCCTTTCCTTCTCACCCCTCTTTCTTTATCCCTATATATGTTGCTCAGACAGCTAATCTCCCTTCCTCCCACGCTAACCCCCACCACCACCCAATACTTCCCCAGCCAAGAGTGTGTCTCCTTCCTCTAGGTCCCCGCCCTCCTCCTATCCTTCTAGACAGGCGTCTTTACATTCGAGTCGACACACTCAGAACTCACTTCACATGCCCACTCCGATCCGCTAGTCAAACCAATGTTTTAGCAGATGAAACTCCGCCTCCTGCCCAGGAAACTAGAGGGAGACAAAAATCTTTCCCTACCATCCATTCCCTTTATTTCTGTCAACTTCTCAAGTAGAGCCAGGTTCACGGTGTGCTTATAGAAAATGGGGACAGATACAGAAAGCCTGAAGCCTGGAAATTTGGGCAGCCCCGGGTCACCCTCTGAATTATTAGGTTGAGAGTGTGGGTCTTAGCTTCTTAAAAACGCAGTCTCATTTGACATCTTAGTCTATCTTGGAGTGCTGGTGCCTATGACCTTTTCCTAGTTTCCTTGTGGAATGGGGAAAAATTATAAAGGACACGCTAAAGGACAAGAGCTGATAAACAGCTGGGTCGCAAAGAAAAGATTAAAAAATCCAAGTAGGTGTGTATTCTAAACACACACACTTTTCATCACTTCTCTCTTCATTTCAATGTCATTAACACCTCCTATTGCTTTGTAGCAAGTAAATTTGTGGAAAGAAATGGCTTACAATACATAGATGCATTGTAAACAAGGACTTGCATTTCCTACGGACTTTGGACTTTTGTCTCCTTCACCAGTCTGCAAATCTTCCGAGAACTTTCTGAAGACCCTATCTCTACCCGCTCTGCAGCTCTCTGAAATTGGGTTCAGCACCTGGGACAGCTCTACGCTAGAAGGGCTTGCTTATGCCGCCACCTTCCGGCAAGTGCTTCAGAGCGCCATCTAGAAACGTCTTAAAGAAATCAGCCTATATTAAGGAAAGCCGAAGACTCTAAGAGAAAGAAATGAAAAGCAACCATTAAATGTTGTCACTTTAAATATTTTCTTCAATCATTTCTTTTTGCCCCTTCTGGTTTTACACCAAGCTTGTTATGGTTTCTACCTCCTTTTAAAAACTTAAGACACCACAATTCACAAAATCTATAGGAAAAACGCCCCTTTACGAGACGAAGACAACACTGTCATCTACTAGTGTTGTGGGGCCAAAGCCTGTGTGTTTTATTGGGGGAGGGTGACAGAATTATCTTTTCCATAAAGGAATGACTTAATACTGAAAATAGAAACTTCTAGAAGTTTGTTTTAAACTGTTTTTTCTTTTTGCAAACAAATAATTGATCCTGATTGAAAACAAAGAATAGAAAGTTCAATTAATCAGAGTAAACACAGCACAAGAAAGATCCACTTATAGATTCTGATTACAGACTTGCAGTGAAGAAATGTAGAACGCAATTCCTAAAGCAGCCAATTCTAGGTAACAGTCAGGGACTCACTACAAATTGCAATAGTTTTACTGTTGTGTTCAAATCAGAGCTTTGAATTTCATAGTTTTGTACTCTTAAGACGAAAAAAAGAGAGTAATCACTAGCGCATCAAAGAAAATCTACTTGGGCAGACACACAATACAGGCAGTGTGCTTGGAGATGGACTGACCTGGGCACAGTTCCCACTCAATCATTTCAGCATACCAAAACAATGAAGCTGCCATGTGTGGTGATGCATAACACTGACAAAAGAGAGATGAGTATGCACAGAAAGACAGACTCTGAGAAACTCTTTCTAAAATGTGTGATTATTATATGTAGGTTAGTTATCCTAGTAAAATCCCACACAAATATAGAATTAAATTGTTTATTAAAATGCAGTTGCAACTGCAGAGATTATAATGGACATTGAAAGTCTGAAAGGTCCAAGGACAAAACTTCAAAAACATAGCAAAATAAATATTTATAATCAAAGAGCAAACATATACATATAAAAAACCTACTTGAATACAAGTTCTGCAAACTTATTAGCATATGTAAATGCACAATAGATGTTATGCAAATATGTATAGTACAAATAAGGAGCCTTCCATCAGCAATTGCCCTTTATGTACTAGATGCTAAATGGTTTAATAGCTAACAAACTTATTTTTCCTTTTCAAGAAAGTTAAAAGGCTTTGAGTCTGGAGTTTATGCTTATGATGTCTGGGATTTACTTTTCTACCTTAATATGACATGTATATTATGGTAGAGTGTACCATGTTTCATATGTACCATGTTCAATAATATTCCTAAGTAGTTAATATTCATCCTCAAATTAATGGACATGATATATCAAATATTTCCTTTCTTGAATTTAGGAAGTTTGTAGATATGCTACCAGATACTAGGAAGAAAGTCACAATGGATGTACAATGCTGTGGTCTTGCAGCTTCTAGGTAACTAATAATTAGGTATGACTTTGTTGAACAATACTATGGTATATATTAAAAGTAGACTAGTGTTGCCTTTCTTCATGCTCACACTTACCCAATTCTATGTTTAACCCTTATGAGATGCAGAAGCTAGCCAGGTATGGTGTCCACAAATCTTTAATTCCAACATTTCCTTCTGGAGGTAGAAGAAGGCAAATGTGTGTGAGTTCTAAGCTAGCCTGCTGAGTTGTGGACCACGCAGGGATGTGTACTGAGACAATGACACAAAATCACCATCATCATCATCATCATTATCATCATCACCATCATCATCATCACCATCATCTGCTTTGAAGTAATGCAGAAAATAAGATAGGATTGATAAATGGTGCAAAATTCTCCAAACAGACTTAAACTCATTCTTCCAGACTTCTGAAGTTAACATAGGGAAAAGCTTGCTTTATTATAGCTATGACTGATCTGATTTCCAGACAAAAATATCAATCACTCTGCTTTTATTTCTAGTTTGAATTTACTAGAATCAAGCCAGAACTTGTCAGGTTATAGATCTTTGTGTGATGTATCATCCATCATGGGGAATTTCTCTGAAATACTTTATGAGAGACAGATTATTTTTTAACATTTTCATGGAAATTTGATCCATGCATTGCGATGTAGTTCTCTGACCAGGCATATAAAAACAAAAAAGATTTTAAACTGAAGCTCTGCAATAATCATAGCTGAAGCTGGGATTCATCAGTAATTGCTTAAATATCATGCCCCACTTACACTAAAGATTTTGTTGAGGAAAGAAGATGCTGACTAGTTGAAAACCAACTTACAAAAGCTATTTCTAAAAGTTCCTATTTGAAAAGAAAAATGGTTTAGTTCTTTGACACAAGTATAGATTATCTGAAGCTAAAAATACTGTTCTAAACTAATGTCTCTGATCCTTAGATACCAAAGTATTAAAACAATTTTATTTTTTCAAACCATGAGTTTGACTGGAAATCACCAGAAAAAAAAGTTTACATAGGAAATTTTGTTTAGATAATTATCACTTGAAATTTAAATAAGCAAATAAACCAAGAAAATAAATTCTTTAAGACTGAGTACAGTTTCTTGAATCTAATCCTCAGCATCCACCTTCCTCTGGGAATGACATTTCTTCACTGTGCTCTTCCTGCCATACCCTTCTTATGGCATTGCAAGGGACCTGATACTTCAATAAGCAAAGCACAAAACAACAGTTTTCCTGTTTCCTAAATAATCAAATGGCTGCAATTATAGACTTGTGACAATCAAATGATATAATGCACTTTGTTAACCCAAGATAATCTTCAATGAAAATTAAAAACAAATAAGTATAGTGATGCAAAGTAATAATATTAATTGTCTCACTCGTGATAATTTCTCAGAAATGTGGAGGAAGAGTACTAGGTATGCATAATAAGAATGTAAGAGCTTATAAAACAAAACATACGAGGCTTGATTTGATGAGACTCCATTATAAAGACAACTTCCGTGTAGATGTTACCCTCTTTGATTCCTAAAAATAGTTATTAAAGAATTCTCTAGGAAATTATGGGTAAAATACAAATAGATTAAAAATATTATCATTGCATTCTGGAGCTTCTTGGGTTAAATCAGAATTTGTTGAAGAGGAAAAACAAATATGCCAATGAAAATTCAATAACTGGTGTTGAGTAGGAGTCTGCCCTTTCCCCAGGAGCTACCATGTTTATTTCAAAGCATGAAATAAACAATTAAAATGTATTTCTGCCAAAGAAATACTTAAAAAAAGACACCCACTAAAATCTGGAAGATAGTGTTTTCAGTGTTAGAAATTACCATATTCATAATAAATTTGTATTAATAAATATACTTTTCAGATCTTAATTCCTCTAGAATGCCATCTAAATTATTCAAATTAGAATATATCTGTAAATATTTTCATTGTTCACTTTCGAAAGAGTAAGAACATAGCTGAAATGAGACAAATATTAGGGATGTGAACATTACTATTTGTTAATCTGAGGGGATTTGAAATTCAATTCAGTCCAATA